GATAGGAAGATGTGGAGGTCGAGTATTAGGGTTGTAGGTTAGGAGGTAGTTGAGTCGTGCCTTACTTCGTACCATGGTGGGATTAGCCATGTAGGGTTTTGGTCTAAGATAGCTAGTGGGAATGTTGTGGCTTACTATTTCGCTTTTCAGTGCATGTCCTATTTACTAGCTATCGCTTTTGCTTTGCATCTTTCTTCTAGATTTCATGGTGTTCCTATTTTTCTTATGACTGTTGTGGTGATACTAATATTTACTAATATTGTCTCCCTTTGCTTTGTATCTTTCTTCTGGATTTCATGGTGTTCCTATTTATCCTATGATTGTTGTTGTGATACTAATATTGTCTCCCTTTTTATCCTTTTTGTCCTTGTCTTTTTGTTTTTTTTGAGCCGAGGGTCTTTCGGAAACAGCATCTCTACTCCTTCGGGGTAGGGGTAAGGTCTGCGTACACACTAACCTCCCCAGACCCCATTAGTGGGATTTTACTGGGTTGTTGTTGTTGTTGTTGTCATGTCAATGGCATATTACGTAGGTATCTCAGTATTTATAATCATGTTTCCAACATCAGATTGGTAACAAGGCCTAACTGTGCATGCCAATAAAAACTGGACACGTTATGTTGAAGAGACAGTAATATTATATTTAGACGAATTGTACAAAGTAAAGGACTTTCTGTTACACCATACTGGTTTAAGAAAGAAATTTGAATAACAATTAAGCATAACTACAGGAGGGCCAAAAAAGGTTGCATCTTTGACATTTCAAGCAGTAGGAAATGAGGAAGCACTCAAGTTTCACTGATTTTGTGGGCCAGGTATGATATTAGCTGAGCCAAACGAGATTAATATTACGTGGACTCGCTATAAGTATCAGAAACAGGTTACCTCCATTGCGCAAGAGCTCCCACAGATATGGCATTTAAGTTTCACAAAACACTAAAAGAAGTACCATTATCTCTTTCAATCCCCAAAGACCTGAACTATGTTATATGTCAGCCAGGACAAACTATTACAAGTATACAGGCATATATACTAGAGACTTGTGCATTCAGTTTCAGTACATTTTTAAGGGCATAATAAGCACAGTAGCAATTATGTGCAAATGAGAAAATTACCAACCTAGACAGTGATTGCTGCAAAAATTCTCCATCCTGACTCACACGATCGACGAGTTCATTGAAAATTGGAGCAACTTCACAAGCTTGCTTCCATTGACTTTCAGGGAATGACATTGGTAAAAGAGCAACTGGAGCATGAACCATACCAACACCAGGAACAGTTCCTGATTTCTTCAAATTTCAAGAAAACACAATTAAAACAGTAAAGAAATAACACCTAACAACCTTCTTGATCAACAAATTACAAAAGATAAAATAAAGCACCAAACTTTAATCAAAGTAGTACAATAAATTTATAAAAAAAAAAAAAAATTCATAGATAATTCAGTAATATAAACTCCTTTCTCTGTGATTAAACAAGAAAAAAAGAGGAAATAAATAAAGTTTATATTGACATAAAGACTGACCTCTGAATTCCTGTCACCAACAACAAGACCACGAAGAGAGCAAAAGACAAGTGCATCATAAGAAAGTTTCTGCAGCAATTTCGGGTCAATATCATGAGGATCAACAATGGGTTTCACAGAATCTTCCACTTGGGTCTGCATTTTTTTAGCACACTTCAATGGCAAGATTGCCGAAAATGGGGATTTAGGTATTAAAATTTTGGAAGATTTGTGAAGATGGGGTTCCAAGAATCTAGTGGCTGAGCAGAAATTTAAAGAGTTTGAGTGTGATTCTTGGAGTTGAAAAGGAGCGGTAGCACAATAGTGTGTTAAGCAAGTGCTGCTGCTTTGTGAAAAAGATGAAGAATAGCCGCTGCCCATTTTGACATTCTTTGGACCCCTCTTTTGTGTTACCTTATTATCGTCCAAAGTGCCTCTTTACGTTTGGCTGGTTGCTAATGACAGAGAATTGTTTCTTGAATTTGCCAATTTGGAAAGTGTGTGGCACCTTTGTTTTATTAATTGTGGGAACAAGCGAAAAAGAAGATGCTAAAAATTATCAATTCATCCCATATAATTATGTTTTATCTCCAATCGACCCAGTCTTTAATTGAAAATGGGAAGATGTCACTGCTTACATCAAGAATTAGGGAAATGGTAGAAAACTATATATATCTACGGTAAAGTAGAGGCAAAACTAGGAGAATAGATCTTGACTATTGAAGAGTAAGAAATATCACTCTTCTGAGGATTATATCACAGTAAGTATTATGTATCACAAATTGTGAGGATTTTTTCCTCATGCCTAAATATTGCAAATATAGTTAAATTATGATGTATGTTTTGAAAAATATGAGTATATTTCATGACAACCCCAAACAGAAGCAGACGCATATTATAGATTGAGGGGTCACTGGCATCCGAAAACTTCGACAGAAATTTCATGTATACTTGCAAATTTTTTCAAAAAATAGTTAGATATTAGCATAGGCCCGTATCAATCTTTATGAACAGTGATAAATTTATATTGAATATCATGATGTCCCGCGACCGTCGAATTCTGGGTCCACCTAACTAGTATTGAAGTCCATTTTTGTTGGAAGATGATTAGCAATTCAAATTTAAATTGATATATATTCTTATTTTAATTTACAACTTTTAAGGTTTAAGTGTTTCATTAGGTATAAAAACTAGATGTGACTAAATATTTTTACGAAAATGAAAAAATTTGGATTACAATTTGGAAGCGAGTGACATTCTTATATGTTCGAACAAATGTTATATTGCATACATTTCAGTTATATTCCAAGGACGTCATTTCAGTTTCATATTCTCGTAATTATTTCCAACAACAAATGAATTAGAAATCTTAATTACGATCAGTATTCGATATAGATAGGATAATTATTAATTATAATTTTCATATCCATAATCAATCAGAAATTATTCTAATATCATTAACTTTTCTCTTTCATAGTAAACAAAAAACTAATATTTAATTTAATTAATAAGTTAACTTCTTTCATATCCCTAACATAATATGCATCATTAACAAGGCCATTTGTTCTATTCCACGAGAGGAATGCATTATAAATTTACTAAATTTTTTCAGCAATGATTTACTTATTCTGATCCCAATTTTCGTTTGCATTCGAGCCCACCTTGAGAATTGATTTCAATGGTTTTGGCTCTTCTTTTTCTTGTTCTTTGATGTAAGGCACTTTTTCTGTAGATTTCTTTTTCTTCATCTTCTTCTGCTTACTGAAATAAATCTCCTCCACATTATCATTTATGCTAACCATTTTCTTCGGAGCTTTGTTTTGAGTTTCAATTGATGGTCCAGGGGCTTCTTCCTCAACAATCTCGTCGTCGTTCTCTTCACTAGTTTGCTGAGAAAGATCATTTTCTCCATTTTTAAGGACTGAATCATCTTCAACTGCAGTTTCTTCCAACTTGGGAAGTACATCAGAAGCCGAATCTTCAGAATGCAGAATCTGTTCATTGCTTGAGCTATTCTTGTTACCTGGATTAGCTCGAGATTGGCTCGTTTTGACCAAACTGTAATTCATGGAATCACCCAAAGTCACAGGCTTGATAGCTTCAGCAACAAGGCTCTGCACAACAAATTCGAAGAGCCTATTGATAATAAGGAAGCCATTGCACCAAGAATAATCCAAACTCGTGATCATGTTAACATGACCTGCTGTAGTATCTTTGAACAAGTTGAATAGCCATCTACAGATGGATAAACTGTAGCACACAGGGCATCCAAAAGACACGATATAACACAAGAATTCATTGCAAATGCCAAGGAGCTGGATCTTGTTTTCTCCTTTGTCCATTTCTTGGTCTGTTTTAAGAAAGGAAATTGAAAAAATAATGTAGGCTTTTAGACTGCTGTAGCCATTAGATTCTTTCTGCCAAAGACAGGCAACAGTTGCAAGCAATGTTCCTTTTCTTTTCTTGGGAGCAAAAACAAAGGCAAAACCAGATAGCATCTTATATTTCCCCTCCATAAAGCTAATGCTTATAGGTTTTATTCCTTCCCTCTTTCTCAACTTAGAGTTTCTTACAAATGATTACCAAAGAAGGGGCTCTGATTGTTAATTTCAGCTTGAGAACATGAAGCCAATTGACCAAGGAAAACTAATAAAGAGGATTAAAGGGCTTGTTCAGCTTTAACTGAGCACAATACTTTGGAACAACGAAATACTAATTGATCATAGGAGCACATGAAGAGAACGAAACCAAACAAGATGGATTACCATTTACCAAGCGATGAAGCAAGTGAATATGCTTCTCCTTACACAATTTTCACCAAGTCAAAGGAAAGACATTCCCTTAGATCACACTGACAACTCTTTAAAACAATTCCAGAAAACAAAAATACATCTTTATAGGTGTTCCTTTAAGAACAATTATGTAGGACTTGCACCTGCTTATTGAGTCATAAAATGGCAGCTACACAAGTCTAAAGGAAAATTTTCTGAATGGACTACAGAATAAAGCACATGAAAGTACTCTTCAACCCAAGAGGAAGGTCCCCAAATAATTAGCTTGAGAGGAACCAAAGACATGTATATCTAAGGGTTGGATAAGTTACAAATTCTAGCATCTTACAAAATTGAACAATACCATTTCCTCTTCACAACAGTCTATCTAAAGTTTGATTCGTCCACATAGACGCCAGTATGCTCCAGGGTGGAAGAGAGACTTCTCAAAAACCCATATATCACGTACCAAGACCTGGATCCGAAAAAAACATAATATGAGAAAATAGTGCTTCCTACTGCTATTAAGTAGGCAGTCAGATAGTTGTACTTGCTAACAAAATGCTTCACTAACATAACTACTATGATGGTGGAAAACTATAATTTTCAGCAGGAAAACACCCAATATTTAGACCTCGTAGGGTCTCACTGTCACTAATATCTACGGTTAACTTAGCACCCCTTTACTAGATGCAACCAGGAATGCTGTGTTTTTTTTTAATATTGAAATTTTTAAGAGGCTTGAAAGGTAATGCTTCTGGCATCCCAGTCCATATGTTAATATCCCAGATAGATATTTGTAAGAAGGAAGCCATTATCTAGGGTTCTAGTCTAGATAACAACTATTCAGCATTCACCAATTTTGAAGTGTAGAAAAGTGACTTTCTTCACAGTGATGTCGGATGCATTCAGTCAATGAAATTGGCATTTGCAAGAATGCATTATATAGAATCTCTATCACATACCTCCTTATTTCTATCTCCTGAGACAACGGCTCCTTTCCCATCATATGCCTCAAACTTCTGCAATAATAGCTTAATATCAACACAGGACAGTCATTTCTAATACCCTAGACCGCATTAAAATAATAGACGTGTTGGTCTTTTAGATTTTCAATATTAAAAGTAAAACCTGATGCACTCTTGGAAACTAAATGGAGTTACTTTGGACTAGTAAATCATGAGAGAGTCTGTTCTCCAATTATTTCATTTTCTACAAACAGATTTTTCTCAGGTGATATGATGTTTAAAATCAAGGACATGAACTCTTAGCCAGCTTTCTCCAAAAGCACTTATATACTCTAGTTACTTGATTCAGACAGAGTGTCGTATCATATTCTTTGATAAGTTTTTTTTTATAAGGTAAATAATTTTATTAACAATTGGGGACTAACCCCGTATACAAGCCGTATACCAAAAAAAAGAGAACCTACACCGAAATATAGTTCTCAACAAAACAGATCCAATCCTCTATACAAATAGGGACCTCATGAGTACACCAAAAAGAAACTAGGAACAAGAAACTACTTTGCAATTTCACAAAATCTTGTTCCACCCCTTCAAAAGCCCTCCTATGTCTCTCTTTCCATATCACCCACATGATTGCTAAGGGAGCGACACTCCATGCCCTTGGACTTCTCTTTCCACTCATGTGAACCCAACTATGCAACGCCTCCTTCACTGTACCCGGCATCACCCATTGCACCCCAAACAAATATAAATTAAATTTTGAAAAAGGTCCTTATTTTTCAACTCCTGACAAGGATAACAAAATCTCTTCCTCAGACCCTCAAAGTTTATTCCTTTTCTTATCCATAAGTGGCAGCAGGATCTCTTAGTTTAAAGGTAGCAAGATAAGGGTTTATTCCCTTATCCATAAGTTACAGCAGGATCTTGTAGTTTCAAGGTAGCAACAGTGTTATCAAAGGCGAAAAGCGCAAAAAAGCTTTAAGGTCCGTTGGGACTTTAAGCGCAAAGCGCAAATAAAGCGTGAGCTTTAATGAAAAAAGGCGCAACCGGAGAAAAAGTAAAAATATGTATATGTAGTCCAAGACTAATAATTATAATCATGAATAATTTATATGGACAAAGAAATTGAAAAAAAAAATTACGATAAAGTGAAATATCAAATGTTTAATGTCGCATTTTCAGGATTACACTCATTGGCAAGGAAAAATATGCCTTAGAGCCTTGATGCGACACTAAAGCGCCCACAAAGCGAGGCGAAGCGCTCAACATGTTTTGAGCCTCGCTTCAGGGCTTAAGCGCGCCTTTGACAACACTGGGTAGCAAGATAAGGCCGATATGATGCTAACAGAACTCTTTCTTTTTTTGAGGCTTATTTAACAACCACAAAAATTAATTTATTAACTTTTCTTTATTACACTACGTGACCAAAGCATAAACATAATTTTCAAAACTCTGATGAATGAATCTGCAAAAATCAATTAATTTGTCCATTTACAGACAAAGAAGCAAGTTTGTCATTAACTGCAAATCATTGTCATTTGCAAGCACAGTCCAGTTAGTGCATCTGTTTTGGGCACAGAGGCCACTGGTTCATGAATAAGCAGCTTGAAACCAGAAAGTGAGCTTTCAATACTCTTGTTTCTTTCCTTGCAAGCAGGAAATTTTCATGAGCTAAAGTAGTCTATCAAAAGAAGCAAGCAATTAGGTCAACTCACTGCCTAATGCCATGACATGGTTCAATTTAAGGTTGTATGCAGGAACCCTGTTTTAGGTACTAGGGTAGGAGAACACCGGACGGCACCTATTCCCTTCATTCTTTTCTCAGGTTACGATCAGAATGATGACATTATCTTTTGCTTGTCTTTTTTTCTTTTCCGAGTAATTCTCTATAAAATGGATATCTTTGATTGCCATGTTGATTAATGATTAGCGCTAAACAAACATTACTCGCCAGGTTTACTCGGAAGTCCTAAAGGTGTGGTCATATGGACAAATTATGCAGATATCTGGCCATATCAACTGGTTTGGATGTCAAGTGTTACAACTGAATCAAGCATTACAATCGTGAGATCCAGAAAAGTTGAAACAACTACAACACCATTGACGGGAGCAGGCATCAGCACCAAATGAGCTCAAAACAGTCCAAAAAAATTCGATTACTGGCCAGTTTACCTGCTTAGACAGAAACTCGAGTGTAAGCTGTATGAACGCCTTACTCAGATCATTTTTGTCAACACCAATCTGCAAAAGAAGCGGCTACAGAGTTCTATCATTGCAAAACTAAGAAGCGGTAAAAGTTCAAGGACCAAACTTTCACATGAATAATCACTTGGCAGAGAGAAAATCTAAAGACAATGAAATCCGTTTCTTGTTACATGATAGAGGTTCCATTTGATGTTATAGTATTTCCCAAATTTTTGGGGAAAAAGATTTGAGTGGAGGAGAAGGGTAAACAATTTAACATCAGAAAGTAAAGAGCTTTCAATTCACATAATCTTTTGACATAATGAGCTCTACAGTTTGTCTTCGTCTAAAAAAGGTAAGAAGAAATCCAAGACATATATATGATATCGAAAACTGAGTAGAAAAGCAACTTAAAAACTTCCAATATCCAAATAGCCTCTTAATCTTTATCCTCCCAGTTAAACTAGAACTCTCTCCCAATCAATCACATGGTAACCTCATTTTAAAGTGAAGACATAGGTGACATCACAGGCACAAAAAGTAATAATATCATCAGAAGCTCGAGTACACTATTTTTAAAGTCTAAACCCTTGTGGGTTTTGTTATCGACCCTATTGAATATGGTTTCTCCAAGAAAGACGATTACCAAAACCAAACCAGGAAGAGAATTTATGAAGGGTTAGCAAAAAAGGCTTGGCTCCGGAAAAACCAAATCAGAGAGACCAAAAAGTAGATTGTATCCATCACATGAAAAAGTGGTCATCAGAACCCGAAGAAGAGAATTTATAAAGGGTCAGCAGAAAAGGCTTTGCTCCTGACAAACCAAATAATAAGAGACCAAAAATGTAGATCATATCCATCACATGAAAAATGTAATCATCTTGAACTCCACCTAGTGTCCTGGTAGTGTTATATAATGTTTCCTACACATGCAAATCTAGACAGTTACAAGCTTAAGCAGGGTTAAGGTTTGGTACTTGCCAATCGAGCTCGCAGAGTTCGCACTTTAACAATTGGTTCAATTAGTTCCCAGTGGACAGTAGGCCACACTGATTCTCGTTGCTTGATCTCATTCTTGAGAGCCTGTCTTGTAAGATCAAAGGAAAAAATATGTCAAACAAACTAGTTTTGATTTTTAAGTCAGAAAGAGGGAATTAATTAATAGCCCATGACAGACATAGATAACACTGCACCACCTCGACGGCCAACTATGTATCGAAGTGGTTCAAGAACCACTCACACAAACAGGACCTACCCCCATGCCAAAAGCATAATCTCGACATTTCATCCAAATGACCAGGTTAAGCAGCAAGATTGAAGGCTCCGTATGAATTCAGAGTAAAAATACCAGGTAAAAGAACTTACAGAGTACATATGCTCCGTGACTAATTTCCTCAAAGGTGTCTTTCCTCCGTTTGCGATTTGCGTATTTATCTGAAAGGGAAAAGGCAGAAATACACACGAGTCAAATGCTGAACATAAAATATGTAACAAATACACAGAAACCACAGATTGACGATAAGTCGATAACTCAAAAGTCTATAATTATGAAAAAAGCACACCTCTTTGTATATGCCAACAGCTTCAGCATAGAACTTTTGTTTTGAATATCCAGATTTTCGTAATTTAGCAATGGCATATGCACTTTTGAGCTGCAAAGACAAATTTGATGCGTAAAAACTAATTCAGAACTTTGTGCGTGCTCACCCTAATATAATCTCAATAAAAGTTTTTAACCACTCAGAGTCCAGGTAAAAGGAATAGGCTACAGGAAAAGGAATTTAAGAATAGCAGATCTTGAAACAATTTCTTATTCTGTGAAGTAGCAGATACACAAAAGGGTGTACATATATAATGGTCAGATTACAAATAATTACCTCTGAACTAAGTTCCTCCTTTGTCCTTTTCCAACCACTTCTAGTGAAATACCTGATATCAACATTACAAAAGTTGAACACGGATTGTTTTGCACGATTGCACTAAGTATAAAGAACTCCAAATCACTTAATGAAGCACTTTTACTTTTATGTATAAGTTTGGTCTAGAAAGATGGTGTTGTCGTCATCCCTTCATGATGAATTAAGGATAGTGGTCTATGAAGAATAACTGAACTAAGCACAACTAAAAGAATAATGATCCTTTTCTTTCTTTGGCAAGTAATGTTAGAATTTTGTCCGCATAGAGCGGAATGGATATAGAGGAGTCTTATAGCCAACCCCAACTATTCGGGATTGAGGCTCAGTTGATTAATTGGATGATTGAATGCAAGAATTTGTAAATAGTACAATCAGCACTATGTGCTGGGAGTACATAAGTTGGTTTACACAGGCCTAGATATATGCCTGTAAGGAACTGATGAAGCCAAGGTGAATTCTCCTGCCATTCCCTACTTTGAACTAAATGTTTTTTTTTTTTTTGATAAGGTACAGTTTATTGATAACAGTACCAAGATAATACAGCAGCAAGTACAAAAAACAGGACTTGTTTACATTACAGGTTCAAAGATTCTAACAAGTCCAGAATGTCATACATATTTGAACAAAATTTACTTTCATCCAATATTACAAATTTTGAACACATCTATATTTGACAACATGAAGCATCTCCTCTTTGTCTTGAAAACACCTCTTATTTCTACTTTGAACTAGAGTATTGCTAATAAAATAGTCCATTGGTTTCTTATATGTTTCTATACACCAACCCCGTAAGAACTTACTACCTCTTCTGTGCACCATGGTGCTTATTGTCCATATTTAGCTTGCCCCACTTTTCTCCACAATCCACATTATATTTTTCTACTTACAATACCGTCTCTTGTGAGCATATACAATCCCTCCTGTCTGAATCAATGCCATTTTGGATATTATAACTAGAACAAGAATATGACGGTCCCATTTATCAAGAAAATAATAAAAAGAATTGGGTTGTCCCAGCTTGCCACATCAAAAGTTACCTAAATACCATAACAGTTTTCTCTCTGTTAGATATAGACAAACTGATTCCAGAGAGTATTCTCTTATATTTAATGTTAATCAGAAGAGAGAGCAGCCAAAATCGATAGCCAATTTTACGAACAGTTTTACGTACCTCTTCCAGAATGGGATTTTCTCACGAGGGGTATAAGGATCATATACGATTCCCGGACTAACCATAGACACTTTGACTGCTCCCTATAAATGGAAAAAATTAAAAACTTAAACATTTATCCAACTTAATTCTAAAAGCTGTAAAAAATTAATCTGTTATATACTAACAAGTAACAACCAAAATGAAATGCATATTTATTCTTCATTAGCAGTGTCTCCATTAAAAGGTTTTGTTACCATTTGTCGTGCTTGGGCTGGAGCTTTTACTTGCGTTGTAACTGATCGCATGTCACCATAGCTTATTGGCTCCTGCATCTACATGGAAAGTAAAAGTGATGGGAGTAATCAAATCTATCATTCAACAAAATATTCCTAATGATTCTCTTGACTTTCAATATGTTCTCTCAAACACAAGGTGCTGAAACCACTTGAGACAGCTAATAATTACTCAGCAAGTTAAAACTCAGATAAAATGCTCACAGAATAAGAATTACAAAAAGAAAAAAAGCTGGCTCCTGATACAATTTTGAATTTATTTTAAATACAACTTACTGTAGTGGAATGGAGCATTGGTTTATCTCCAGATGTCCAGGGGATACATCCATGGTCCTTACGTACGCAGGATGATATGTTCCTCAATGTGAGATGTGGAACTGACCACAGGAGCAAACAGCTGAATTAAGAAAGATCTTCGTTCTAATAATAGCTCAGAATTCAACTTTTAAAAGGCAGAAAGGTCAACAGAAAGAAAAAAGGAAAGAAAATGAAGAAAGAAACTAATTGATTTAGAGTGAGTGGTCTTGCACCAACTGAACAGGTCTTTGCCGTAGATATATTATTCCATGGATGGAAGTCCGTCCATTTATATAAGCAAGAGGAATTGCTCCAGCACTTTGTATCTGATCACAGGGAAAGACAATTCATTCCAATAGATAGAGTTATCCCTAATAAGAACTAAATGATTGAAACACAAAAAGGACAGCAGAAATTGTAAATAGGATAATCAAAAAACAACATATTTATTCCAACATGAATGCAATTAAGCTATACATACACCAGTTTAATATAGCATATCGTAGTGTAACCAATCCCATTAAGTGAACATGATACTCTTAATACAAGGGGAAATGATCAAATATGCTTCTGTACTATCCAAATTAGAGCAACGTTACCCTTCATTAATTTTTTGGTCTAATACCCTCACTGTCATGAAAAAGTCTCATTTTTGCTCTTGACCAGTAAGGCAGCTCCAACCTGAGGGTAATTTTAAACCATAGTCAACCATTGACGGTAGAATTGGACCTATTTTCTGGAGGTTTTTGGACACCTGGAGTACACCCATTTTATGCTGAAGCTCCCGTAATGGCAAGGGCAAATACGAGAAATTCTTTTAATGGCAAGGTTATGAATTGACCAAAAGTGTAACAGAGGATTGAGCAATTTTGGACAGTACAGGGGCAAATTTGGACCGTTTCCCTAAAAACAATTAAAAGGTACAATTCATTCGCCTATTCCACTTATATCTTTCCATCAGCTTCTAGACACAACCAAAATGAAGTAAATTTCAACAACCCCATTTGAGAAATAGAACATCAGAACGTATTAGCGTTATATGCATATACATACCATTTGTAATAGCTTTTGAATAGCTTCTTGAGCTGGTTAGCCTGCATTATCAGAAAAAGAATCAGATTTGAAACAAAGAGACACATTTAATCCAAAAAAAAAAATCAAAAAAAAAGGCATCAAACAAGATAGTGGAAAAAGGGTAGCTGGCTTATTGCTAATAAACTCGATATCATATGTTGATAAATTACCAGTCTTTGGAGAAAAAATTATATATGCATTACTAGAATTTGAGCATACAGAATAAAAAATGGCTGAAACTATAATTAAGCTAATTACAAGGTCGAAAACTCTCGAATTTCAAGTGTTTGATAGATGTTTCGAAGCGCATGATATCGTCCTAAAGCCATCTATGATCAAGGAGAGGGGAAACAGAGCGGAAAAGGAAGGTTTTTGGAACTTTGAGAAGAGGGTTTAAGGAGGATTTGTTTGCTCCTTCGCAGCATAACTTAGTTGCTACTTCTTACCACTTAATGACTTCCACCTGTCACCCTTTTTTTAACGGAAAAGGGCCAAAAATGCCCCTCTATGCCAAATTGAGGGCATCTGCCCTCCGTTAAAACTTTGGCACAAGCCTACCCCTCCCGTTAATACCTTGGGCCAAAAATGCCCCTTTTTCGTTCCCCATCCAACAGAAATGCCCCTTTTTCGTTCTTCACCCAACTTACTGCAGCGCCAACTACTGGGGATTGAGGTGCGTCGTCAGTTATAAATTTGCATTTTAGTTCCAAATTTTGTTTACAATGTTATGAAGTGTTTAATGCATTGGCTTATTAGAGATTCTGGAGGAATCAATCACTGGAGTCCCTTTTCTTAACCTTAGCACTGATGATAGCTCTTATGTAAAGGCATTAGGCTCAAACATTAACATGAATCCACTGCCAAAATAGTTTTTCAGCAAGCTTTATTGCACTGTAATTATACATTAACTTGAAAATGCATCACAATAGTAGTAGTTAAGTCAATTTCTTATAGGCTCAAACAACATTGCTAATGTCTTTTACCATACGAAAATACATTTCATACTTTATATTTCGTCAAACATCCTAATGCCATTACAATCGATCGAACAACAACAATGCATTTAATACATTGGTTTCAATCTGAATATCCCAAAAAAGCAACCCAATAACATAAAAATGATAATCCACTGCCAAAATAGTTTTTCTTTCAACTTTGCAACTACTCTATCATGATCAATAGAAGAAGCTTAAAAGGCAGCAACTTTTCCCTTTAATACATTGATTTCAATATGAAGATGATCTGATTTTTTCTGTAGAAAATCTGTTTTCCTCACAAGAGCCTCCCTTTGCCTCTTCAATTTATTGATGATAACTAAAGCTCTTGAAGAAAATTCATCATCTTCCCTAAAAAGCGACGGGTTGGAGAGAGTGGGAGGGGAGGCGGTACATTAATCTATCTATATCTATATCTATCTATATTATTATAAAAGCACGTATGTTTTATGCTAAATGTTGAACGATTAAAATATTCTTGAAACTTTGATTGACTTTTATGCCCTTAAATATTTGTATAATTTAAGAATATAATTGCAATTACCCAAGATTAGAATTCTTTTCAGATTTAAATTGCACATATGCAACCCTACAAAGTTTATAGTTTATTTCCATTAGGATTCATATTAGATACGTACATTATTCAATCAAAGTTAAACTTTCACTAGGATTCTTATAATTTATACACTTAGAATTCTTGTCATCAGTGCCACATAGTACAAGCGAAATCCAATTATTTTATATAAGTTCTCTTCTCTTATTATTTATTTACTCCTCTACGTATTGTCTCTTAGCTTGATATTTTTATATTTTAGTTTTTGAATTTCACATATAATATCATCATTGGTGATTGATACTTCTTGAGATTTAAGTGATTTTTATGGATTGTAATTGCTCATCCAATTTTTAGTAACTTCAAATTATTCACATGAATTAGTTATAAGTTTAAATTTTCGTAGACTGAAATATTTTATAGTGTGTTTAATACCAACATTGAACTGAAAAGACAATTTAAAAGTTAACAAAAATTACTATAATACTTAGGAATGTATTTTTACTATACTATTTGCACGAAACTCTATACAGACTAGATGCTAATGAATAATTGTAACATAAAATACTGGTAACTTCTGAATTAGAGCTAAAAATTAACATATAGTGGAATCAATAATTAAAGATTAAAAAATAGGTTGCAAAATTTCACTTATAAATTTGAAAATCACAAGTGTATATTTTAATGTTAAAAAATTTATTCTATATAAGATTTTGTTTCATATGGTATGAGTATGATTCTTTGGACGGAAATTAGGTGGAATGACTTCTTTGAGTGTGTTTGCTTGGTTATGCATCGTTTTAACGATTTTCATTAGTTTATAAGTTAGAGTAAAATGAAAATATTTAAGAAACTTTATGATGATTCTAAAAATAAAAATTGAGGTTTCTAAGAACAGACACTTTCTAATGTTGAGTAACTGAATAATTTTTTCGAGACAATGATTTTTCTCCTTTTGTTATGCCAATAAATGGTTAATGATATCTAGCTACTTGGTGTAAAATATATTATTTAACTACATTTTTATACAAGTAATAGTACCGCCTAGTTGTTGATTTTGACGCTCTAGAAAACGTCTCTTCATTTGAAAAATTTCCCACTCATTGATACAATTATTGAAAGAACTATATCTCTTGTCATATATATTTTGTTAATTTAATATGAATTTATAAAAGTATTTTCTTATCATATATTTTTTTTATTGATTAACACGAAAAATTACGTGCAACGCACGTGGATAGAAACTAATATTATTATAAAAGTACTGTCACGACCCGAAATTTTCCACCGATGGAACCGTGATGGCGCCTAACATTTCACTTGCCAGGCAAGCCAGCGTTAGAGAATCATTAAACCAATTCCTAATTTTCATTCAGTAAATAATAATAATTATCTAAGATGAAATATAATAAGTGCGGAATATCATAAAAATATATTAATTACTACCACCCGGATCTGGAGTCACAATTCACGAGCATTCTAGAATTTGCTACAAGTAATAGTCAGAAAGAAATACAATTGTTTGAATGAAAGAAACAGTAGAACAAAAAAGATAGATGNNGAAGTAGTGACGAGGCTAAGGCAAGGCACCTACAAATCAACCTGTACAATTTAACAGTATATATGCAAATAACAGAAATGAAAAACTAAACAGGAAATGTCGGGAGGGGAACATACTGAGGGGAATACAAGATAAAGAACTACAACAGCATGATCACGGAGCAGTCAATATACCATGAATCAACAGAAATAGTGAATACAGTAAGAAAAAATGCACAGCATCACCATTCGTGCTTTTACTCTCAATCTCACCATAAAATTAATAGAAACGGCAAGGCATCACCCTTCGTGCATTAACTCTCATATCATGGCACGGCATCACCCTTCGTGCATTAACTCTCACAATATGGCACGGCATCACCCTTCGTGCATTAACACTCTCCCTTACCATAACGCAATGCATAAATAACAATAGGGAGATAGAATAACAAGTACAAACCTTAATTCAACATTTGGTTCCATAATATCAATCTCAACTTTGAAATAAAAAAAAACTCAATTACNAGGGTTAGACACAACACTTACCTCGCTCCGAAGGCCACTTAATTCTCAATCACAACTTTTCCTTTGGAATTCACCTCCAAACCACTCGTATCTATTCAAAAATGACTCAATAATATCAAATATTGCTAAAGGAATCAAATATATTGCATAAATTAAATTTCTCAAATTTTCCTCCAAAAAATCGAAAAATCGACCCCGGACCTACTTGGTCAAAACCCGAGGTTCGGACCAAAATCCATTTACCCATTCATCCCCGAGCCCGAATATATAATTGGTTTTGAAATCAGACCTCAAATTGAGGTCTAAATCCCCAAATTTTCGAAATCCCTAATTTCTACCCTAACCCCTAATTCTACCATGAAAACTCTAGATTTTAGGTTGAAAATTCAAGAAATGTAATGGGTAATTGAAAGAAAATGGTTTAGAATTACTTACCAATAATTTGGGGAAGAAAATGACTCTTGAAAATCGCCTCCACCCGTTTGGTTCTTGAAAAATATTGAAGAAATGGCTTAAACCCGTGTTTGGAGTATGTTTTAAGTCACTGGACAGGCCTTCATCGCGTTCGCGAGAGGCCTGTCGCGATCGCGATGCACACCGGCCTAAGGCCTTCGCGTTCACGAGTCTTTCTACGCATTCGCGTAAGGCAGCTCCCCCCAAGCCTTCACGTTCGCGACCCAGTGGACGCGTTCGCGTAGAAGAACATGACCCCTTCCCCCATGTCCCTTAAACTATCGCGTTCGCATGAGACAGATCGCGTTCGCATGAGACAGATCGTGTTCGCGAAGGGTACCACCCCCAATGCTTCGCGTTCGCGAAGAAGAAATTTTTCCTGCCCCCATTTTACCTTTCGCGTTCGCGACACTACGCATGCGAATGCGACGAAGGGCACACCAGAACAGCTGCTGCAGCAAAAATCTCAGATTTTCTAAGTGCAAATCACCTCGTAGCCTATCTGAAACTCACCTGAACCCTCGGGGCTCCAAACCAAACATACACACAAGTCTAAAAATATCATACGGACCTGATCGCGCGATCAAATTGCCAAAATAACATCTAGAACTCCGAATTTAACACCAAATCGAATGAAATTCTCAAGAACACTTTAAAATTACTATTTTCTAAACCGAAGGTCCGAATCACGTCAAATCAACTCCGTTTCTCACTAAATTTTTCAGACATGTCTTAAATATCATAACGAACCTGTACCGGGCTCTGGAACCAAAATACGGACCCGATACTAACAATTCCAAATATCAATCAATTCTTAAAAATAAATAATTTTCAGAAATTTAATTTTCATCAAAAATTCATAACTTGAGCTAGGGACCTTCGAATTCGATTCCCGGCATACGCCCAGGTCCCATAATTCGATACGGACCCACTGGGACTGTCAAAATAAGGATCCATACCTATTTACCAAAAATGTTGACCGAAGTCGACTAAAATCAACTTTTAAGGCATAAATTCTTATTTTTATCAATTTTCAACATAAAAGCTTTCCGGAAACTTGCCCGGACTGCGCACGCAAATCGAGGAGGGTAAAAATGAGATTTTTAAGGCTTAAGAGCGCAGATTCGAGTTCTAAAACATAAGATGACCTTTTGGGTCATCACAATCTCCACCTCTAAAACAACCGTTCGTCCTCGAACGGACATAGAAAAGTACATGGGCTGGTGAAATGGTGGGATATCTATTCTGCATATCGGACTCGGACTCCCAAGTAGCTGCCGCAATAGGCTGACCTCTCCACTGCACTCGAACTGAAGGGTAACTCTTTGATCTCAACTGGCGAACTTGCCGG